AAAAGAAAAAGAAAAAGAAATTCAAATTCCCAGCTGCTGCCCCAGACCCACCAAGTTCAGGAACTATCAGGATGGGCCCAGAAAATTGTGTTTTAACAGACCCCAAGTGATTCTGATGCCTTGAAGTTTGAGTGCTGGCCTGGTCTAACAAGGGTTTTAGACAAGCCCTTCATAGTAGCTATAATGCTGCCTAAGAGATAGCTTATTCAATTTTTCTTAGGCCTTTTCCATATATCTAGGGAGAAATTTATATTTTCACAATATCTCCCTCAGTGCCTATCCTTATTATTCGTACATATCATTTTTATCGTATGCCATATCATTTAATAGTTGCTGGAGGAAAAAAGAGAAGGCAATTCTTTTTGTTCCCATATGAAGAAAAATCATAATATTTGTTTTCACAAAAAATCCTTATACATTTAGATTTTCCTTATAATGCAAATTAACAGTGGATTTGCCTTGATGCCATTCCCTTCTGTGATTATAGGGAAGAGAAACACCGATCCTGGAAATAATAATAAAATCACTCCTACCTTCCATGAGTAAGATGGAGAAGTCCTTTAAGACAGTGATGGTGCTGGCCAAAACCAGGATGGAAAAGACGAATGTGCAGATTGGGTCAGCCATTTTATAGTCTGGCTAGAAAATATAGGGACTTAGGTTAACTGAATTCAGGCCTTCCATGCAGAAATTCTGATTATAATAAAATGAGTAAACCTCCCTGCTTCTTTTTCTATCACCCTTTCACCTCCCTGAAACTTGACATCCAACTCAGAGGCAAGATTTTCTGAAGATTCAATCCTTCATTTAAGCTTTAAACTATCAGTGGCTGAAGAAATTTAAAAATTAAATTTAAGACATAAAGGAGAGGGGCCTTGAGTGTTCTTTCCGAAGACCTGATTTGACTTTTCTGTTAATAGAAGCACAGAGTATGTGATGAAAATATGCACAAATTTATATAATAGTCAATGGCTTTTCAGCCTTCCTTATGATGAGAAGAAAGGGTATCACCTGCCCAGAGGTTGCACATGACCAAGGCCCAGCTGGAGCTTGGTCATGGCAGACTGGGGTTGTTTCCTTTCTTTCCCTCCTCAGGATGGCACATATTCGAGACAGGCATCTTTTTTTTTTTTTTTTTAATTTACATCCATGTAGTTAGCATATAGTGCAACAATGATTTCAGGAGTAGATTCCCCATACCCATTCAGCCCATCCCCCCTCCCACAACCCCCTCCAGCAACTCTCTGTTGTTCTCCATATTTAAGAGTCTCTTATGTTTTGTCCCCATCCTTGTTTTTATATTATTTTTGCTTCCCTTCCCTTATGTTCATCTTTTTTGTATCTTAAAATCCTCATATGAGTGAAGTCATATGATGTTTGTCTTTCTCTGACTGACTAATTTTGCTTAGCATAATATCCTCTAGTTCCATCCACGTAGTTGCAAATGGCAAGATTTCATTCTTTTTGATTTCTACATAATACTCCGTTGTATATATATACCACATCTTCTTTATCTATTCATCCATCGATGGACATTTGGGCTCTTTCCATACTTTGGCTATTGTCGATAGTGCTGCTATAAACATTGGGGTGCATGTGCCCCTTCAAAACAGCATATCTGTATCACTTGGATAAATACCTAATAGTGCAATTGCTGGACCATAGGGTAGTTCTATTTTTAATTTTTTGAGGAACCTCCATACTGTTTTCTAAAGTGGCTGCACCAGTTTGCATTCCCACCAGCAGTTCAAATAGATCCTCTTTCTCCTCATCCTTGGCTACATCTGTTGTTGCCTGAGTTGTGAATGTTAGCCATTCTGACAGGTATGAGGTGGTATCTCATTGTGGTTTTGATTTGCATTGCCCTGATGATGAGTGATGTTGAGCATTTGTTTCATGTGTTGGTTGACCATTTGGATGTCTTCTTTGGAGAAATGTTTGAGACAGGCATCTTTGATTAAGTCCTAAGAGTATGAGCTGAGGCCTCATTCTTGCCCTGTCTCACCACTGGAGCCATTAGCTCTAGAAGAGATACGTGTCCTTCTGCCCTTGATGAAGTTTTGTCCCACAGAAAAGTCCATACCTCATTACCTCTGAGAAACTCTCAAACTCCACTACCCAGGACAAGTGTGAATGATTTTGCCTTAAACTTAAAGCTTTCAGTGAATATTTGCTCAATTGAATTCAGATATGTCTTTATAATTTTTATTTCTGTGTTTTCATTTTTTAGTAAAAATAATAAAGAGTCCTTGATAACTGGACAATCAAGGTGCAAACAACAGAGTTAAATGCTCGTCTTTTCCATTACCCCCACCTACACCCCAACCCACTTCTGTTAGTTCTTGGTACAAGAAACACAGATCTATAGTAAATGTTTGTTTAGGGTCAGAGTTTCATCCAAGATCCATCTCAACTTTCCATTAACACCCTGATTTGTCGGGGGCGGGGGGAGAATTATCTTTCCCCCACTGGGGGGTGATATTGGTGGGACAATCAGGTGCTCTTCCTCCCCAGCCAAGCAGCAGGTACAAGACCCAAGCTAGGTCTGGTGGGCTCTCTTTCCCAGAGAAAGAGAATCTCCAGCAGAATGCCAAGAAATGGAAAAAAATTGGTTGACTCGTAGTCATTTCGGCACTGGTACCTGGGACAGAATTTGGATAGTTCCTGAAATCTAAGATACCTAATGTTGTCCTTATTTCTACCTTGGTTTCTATCCAAGAGTACATCCAATACATTTCAACTAATAAATATATTTTTGCTTAAGTAAGCTAGACATCCTTTCTGTTGCTTACAACCCAAGAATCCTAAGGTATTCATGGTTCCATTGCTGTTCATCTTAACTCCATGACAAAAGGAACTACTTTCTTGGAAGACTGGCAGCCCTACATTTGGAGACATAGTACTTAGGAATCTGGAAAGTCTAAGGTTTCAGGCTTTGAATATGTGTTGTTTGTTTGTTTAAACCTTGCAAAGTAGTTGGTATAGGTAAATAGAGGCTGGCCACCCTCATTTAGGTTAATACTGGCAGGTCAGCTTCTGCAGTACCTAATCTATAAACTTCCTATGACAGTGAGTAAACTCAAACATACTCACCTTAAAGTAGATAATAAGTGCACTGGTTAACACACTGATGCTCTGAAATAGATCTCCGAGGGCATGCACAAAGGCTGCTCTGACACTGGCATTGGCTTGCACTTCCTTGTGATTGTGTCCAGCATGTCTCTGGTGCAGAATCACACTTAGTCTGAAAGAGAAACGGATGTTCTTGGCACACATGAGATTAGCCATTGAAAACCTATGCGGCATAATGAAGCAGTTGACAAGAGCATGTGTTATCCAAGATGGAAGATAGTTGAAATATTAATGCTGTAAAATGTACTATTTTGGACTAATTTTGAAAACAAATGTATCATAAAAGTTTTAAATTTTTACACAAGGACAGACAACAAAGGTTCACCTGTTTTCTCTTCCATCTACCTAATGCTACTCTGGTTCACGTTAAAACCGGAAAGCATCACTTCCTAGATGAAACTATTTGACAATAAGGAGGGGAAATATTTATTGAGCATCTACTGAATGCGAGGCACTGAGCTAAGCTTAAAGCTGAGCTTTGGTGGGAGCTTAATTAATGTACTGGTTTCAAATACAAAAAGCAGCAGAAAGGGGTAAAACAAAATAAGAAAATTTCATCAAGTTTGGATTTTTAAAAATATTTTATTTTACTTAATTTTGTTTATTTCTATGAGAATTTAAAATTTGAATAATTTTTAATGGCCAATGATGCATTTGTGTATATTAGCTATTAACAAGAGACTAAAATATATTAATGTATCACATATATGTGTGTAAATATATATTAATGTATATATATGCAAATGTATATATAAATGTGTATATATATAAACACATATGTGTATACAGTCCTAAGAGTATGAGCTGTGGCCTCATTCTCTCTCTATAGATAACATATTACAAAATTTAACATCTCCTACCCAAGTCAAAGAGATAAGTGTTAGGCATATAAATTATGTACCTGATTTTATTTTGGAACAAAAGTTTTAAAAAAATATTGTTTAGTACTATACATCCCAGTCTATTTGCTGGTAAAGTGTCTGTTAAACCCCAGGTCATTATCCACAAAGTAGAATGACTGCTATCCAGCAATATTTGATCATTACATAATGCACAGTTTTTAGATGGTCAGTGTTTGGACAGAAATTCACCCTTAATTAATAATTACCATTTATGAATCCTCAGACAGCTTAATATGGCTGGCAGTTAACATACTCTCTTTCTAGATCTATCCATGTGTGCTCATCACCTTGTCATTCATTCTTTTACTCATTTTATTAAAAAAAAACAACTTAGGGACTCTTGTGTGCCAGCCACTGTTAAATGCTTGGGGTATAAAGGTGAATGAAACAGACATGAACCTTCCCCAGTGTGGCTTTAAGTATGATGGAGATAGCATAGATTTTAAAAAGACACCCATAAGTGGAAAATTCTCATTTTAATAAGTCTAGTAAGAACAGGTACTATAGATAATATAACAGGGAAGTATGATTTAGTTAAACAAATTGAGTTGGATTTGAAAGATTATGTTAGATTTAAATTACAGGCTGGAGAGGAGGGAATATTTCAGGCAGAGAAAACTTAGCATGCCATAGTCTTAAGGCTCTGTCAGTAATCTTTATCCTAGAATCCCTTTACAACTTTTGTTAGAACTTTCTGTCCTGATTTGGAGTCTGCAAGGGTTTGATTTATTCCCAAATTATGGTTCTGATATTTCTGTATTCAGACAACACAGCATCTAGCAGCACTTGAAACTATAATCCCAGTTCTAGGAGAAACATTATAATCACTCAATATCTTTTTCTATAAATAACTACCTACTTGCACAGGGAAGTCACCACTTTTCAATTTCCTTATCTTTCTAAGTAGGAAAAGCACCTGCAATGTTAAGATCAAAGTTCAAAAGCAGTTGCTGTAGGAAGAAAATTTGGATGGCATCTATTTAGAAAGGCAAACTCGATTATCAAGGTTCTAGATTTATGGGGAAGTTATCTAGCTGTATCCTTCATATTCATGTAGCATCGACACAACCTATGTGACATATGCCTCTTGGGAAATTTTTAATATTTTCATTGTCCCTGCTGTCTTGGGGACATATTGTTCTCTTTATGCAAAGATGATGTTATTGACCCCAGTCAGCAGCACATGTGCTCTGCCTTATTTGTCTCCTTGTGCTGATAGATTTGCATTGAACTCTACACACTTTTTCTCCCAGTGCCAATATGAAACACATTTTCAAGTTAGCTGGATGGAAATAGGGATCTACTCAGTAATAGCAGTCAAATACCACTCTTCTAATTGGTTAGCTTAGATATTTCAAGCAACAGTTTGCACACTAAGAGGTGAGGAACTGACGCAGGCAAAAGGTATGGGTATTAGAGTGACCTGAGGAGCATTTTCAAAATGTACACATTCAGATTTTCCTCTAATACCAGAGATTCCATTGTGCCTTCCTTAAAAGACACTGTTTAAAATGTGATTCTTCTTCACTTTCATGTATAAGCCTACCTCATAGCATGTATCATGTTGCATCACAAGATAGATAGATGATACACAGATAGTGTATATGAGTCTCTTTTTGCTGCTATAACAAATCATTACAAAGCTTCTGTGGCTTAGAACAATATAAATATATTGTCTTATAGTTCTAAAATGGGTATGCAGGACTACATTCCTTCTGGAGATTCTGGGAGAGAATTAATTATCTTACCTTTTCCAGCTTCTAGAGGTCACTTAGTTTCCTTAGCTCCAGGATCCTTTCTCTGTCCTCAAAGCCAGCAATACAGCATCTTCCCTTTACTCTGACCTCAAGTGTCCCTCTCACAGGGATCTTTCTGGTTACATTTGGCCTGCCTAGATAACCTAGGATAATCTCCCCATCTCAAGATCCATCCTGAACTTAATCACATTTGCAAAGTTCCTTTACCATGTAAGTTAACATACTCAGAAGTTCCAAGGATTAGAATATGGAAATCTTTGAGGAAATCTTTAAGCCATTATTCTGTTCACCACAGATAATTGATAGGTAGGGTAGGTAGGTAGGTAGGTAGATGATGCAGTTTTAAGTCGGGTTGCCCAGAATCAGGCTATCAGATTGGAAGGAGTAAATCAACCAAAAAAGACCAAAGGCCTGGCCTTAACAGCACCCACCCCGCACCCTTGTCATGAACAATCAAGTAGCTTACTTGGGTAAGAGCAGACCAATACAGAAATGATCACATGTCCAGTAACATCACATGTCTCATAAGAATGAATTAAGACTGCCTGGATAAGAGAATGGACCAAAAGGTGGAAACTAAAGACAGCGACTAGCTAATAGAGCTTAAGAAGGAGTTTTCAGGCAGTTTTACAATGATACAAAGATAAGATAGACTGCTTTTGAGAGGAACAAATTCCCTGTTACTAGTTCTGTTAAAATATATGACACTAATGACTATTTATTTTATGGGGATGTTGCAAAAGAGAATTCAAAAGTAGAAAGGGGACTGGAGTAAACAAAATCTAAGATCCCTTCCAACCCAGCACTCTGGGAACCCATAATGTGATCATGTAACAAAAACCAAATCGGATGGGGTACCTGGGCGGCTCAGTTAAGTGTCCAACTTCGGCTCAGGTCATGATCTCTCACAGTTTGTGGGTTTGAGCTCCGGATTGGGCTCTGGGGTGACACTTCAGAGCCTGGAGCCTGCTCCAGATTCTGTGTCTCCCTCTCTCTCTGTCCCTCCCCCACTCATGTTCTGTCTCTCTCTCTCTCTCTCTCTCTCTCAAAAATAAATAAAACATTTTTTAAACAAATTTTTAAATAAATAGGAGTAAGTCATTTCCCATATGGAACCATCAATACGTATGAGAGCGCAGACTGGCTAGGAGCTCAATCCTGGGCCTCTTGGGTCTAGATTCAGATCCCGGCCTTTGCACTACCTCATTGGCAGTTTATTCAATTCACCATCTCCACAAATGGAAAAATCAAGGAAAAACGAACATCAAGAAAAACCCCACTGTCTGTGTCCACACAGGGTTAAAGACAAGCTTTTATGGGCGGGGTGACTTACATAATATTGGCTGCCACCGCACAGCCTGAAATGATGATCATCACAGTCGCCTGGATCTGGTAATCAGGGTACAGCAGGCGCTCACATGCCAGGTACACCAACACAGCCGTCACCACCCAGACGCACAGGATGGACAGCAGGGCACCAAGGATCTCTAGGGATTCGAGCACACAGACACCCATACACAAAGAATTTGTGGATCACCTTGATCTCCCAAGAGTCATAAGACATTGATGTTCCTTGCTTCCCCCCAACCTGTCCCCCTGCGAAAAGAGGCTCTAAACTAACTAGTTCCAAATGTGTGGATGGATTTTAGCACTAAGATGATTCACTTTAGTGTTGCATTCATTAAACACCAGCATCTGAGTTCATTATGCTCCATATTAGTAAGTAATTTCTAGCAAATTTTTAAAGCATATTAATTGCTATCTGCCATTGCTATTTTCCTCGGGGATTTTAATTTAAACAGGTGCTAAAATGATTGAAACTTATTAGGAGATGAAATAATGAGAGGCAAAGAGTAAAATGTATTTAGAAACTCTTAATTTCACCATAAAACATTTACAATTTGCCAGTAGCGGTACCTTGTGTGGAATAAAATAGTAACAAGGGAGGGCTTCAGAGGGTACTTGATGAAAATGAGTTTCATTTGCCAACCCAACATATTATAAACACGGAGGCAAGCTCAGAGGTATATCAACACTCTAGCTGCATTTTAAGAGCAACTATATCGAAAAGAAGTATCAGAGCAGAGACATGTATATTAATATTTAAAGATAAGATAGTGTTCAGTCTGCAGGCTGAGTAAAGCACATTTGCTCACTGTGGAGTTCCTTAACACCTCTCCCTGATCTTTAACTCAACCTTGTAGGCAGGTACTAAAAGCCTTCCAGGGCACAGAAGTATTCTGAGAGTCCATTGCCGGGGACTTTCCCTACTTTTGATCTTTCCCCTGTCAAAGCAGAACAATGTAAAGTATTGTTTCCCAGTGTGGGGCTATTGTATCCCAGACTTCAATCATTTACATGCAACCTGTCCACATGACACCTCTCTTATTAGCCACTTAACACTTTTTTTAAATAAATTCACTTTTTATACTTAGCTTCTTCCTAAACAAAGTCATCCATGAAATTACCTATTTGACAGGCTAGTTCATTTTCACCTGTGTGTCTAAGCAGTACTGCCTAAAACAGTAACCATCATCACATGTGGCTGTATCCATTTAAATTAAAAAATTAAAAATCCAGTTCTTCCAGGTGCCTGGGCAGCTCAGTCAGTTAAATGTCTGACTCTTGATTTCAGCTCAGGTCACGATCTCATGCTCCTGAGATTGAGCTCCACGTCAGGGTCTCTGCACTGAACATGGAGGCTGCTTAAAATTCTCTCTCTCCCCCTCCACCCCTCCCCTGCTCACGTGCAGGTATGTGCTCTCTCTAAAATATAATATAATAAAATAAAATAGAATAAAATAATCCAGTTCTTCAGTAACAGTAGCCACATTTAAAGTGCTCTATGGCCACATCATACTCTGTATCATAGAACATTTGTCTTAAAGCAGAGAGTCCTATTGAACAGCCCTGATTTTCTACCGCGTCAATGCTCATGAGCTTCCATCACCAAGATGAGAAAGTACAAGCAGTATTCTAAATTCTGGGTTGTGTCTGTGTTTATAAAACATCCCATGTTTACCAAAGAGCTTTGACCAATAGTACCAGAAAGGGGAGAGTACGTGCAAAAATGCGTACAAATGACAGGCGCTCAGCCAAAAATACATGTTTCCCAAGTGTAGCACTGTTCAGGGACTGAAAAGCATCTTCAGGTCACATTGTCACAAATTCTTTTTATTGATGTTTATTGTCTCATCTCTCTCTCTCCCCCCACTGCCGAATGTTAAGGGAAAGGCGATCCAAAACACTTGCTATGATAAATTGTTTCGTGTGAAACGAGAACTTCCTACCATTCTAAACTTGAAAAACCACAGCCCACAATTGTCAGTGTGTAAGTTGTGGTCTGTATCTAGAGGCACCAGTGAAGGCTGGCCACCATGTCAGCATGTTGGCCACCCTTGCTCCGGCCTAAATTCTCCTTCATGTTCTATTCTCGACTTACCTGTGAGAAGTTCTTCAATCTCTCTAGCTCTCTTGGGCTCTCTGTGCCTGACTTTGCAAAATGGTAGATGCTTTATCCCATCCTCCCTCCCAGATGCAGAGTAACTTGATGAGTGTTACCCTTGGGCCAGGGCGGTTGCAGAAGTGATACCTGTGTTCCTGTTATTCCACTGAAATAGAGGTAGTGCAATTAATCTGGCTTGTTGCCAAAGCGCCCTTGAGAACACACATCCTTTTTATCCTGAACATCAGACGTGCCTCTAAGGGATTTCTGAACAAGGCTTTGCTTTGTCTCTTCTGTCTTTATCCTTGGTTTGACCTTGCAGCACTACCTTGACATTAATGCTCAGTGGGTGAACTATACCTGCCCGGTGCCATCCAAACGTCAGCTGCTTCGAAGGGGGCTTTGATGACAACCACAAGGAGAAGAGACTGAGCAGGAAACTGGTCAGGTCAATTAAGAGGTGGGCAGCATCTGTGACGACAGCAAGACTCCCAGCAATGTGCCCACCTGGGGGATACAGAACATTACATGGGATTAAGGGCCCCAGAATGCAACTAGATTCACATGCATATCAACCGTAGTTGGTGAAATATGCCACAGACTCACAAAACTTGATCAGAGAAAGGGTCTTAATGTTGATTTAATCCACCTCTTCTTCCCAATTTTATGAGAAACAGATACCCAGAGAGTGGATAGGATTTGAACAAATAGAAATGAAGTTCAAGGTTGCAGCCATTCCAGGGAGATCAAAGGTACAGAGATTGGAAAGTGTGGGTCACATCACATTTAGAGAACATCACAGTTGGACTGGGACATAAGAGTTCAAAAATACAAAAGGATGAGGCTGGAGACGTGAGGGCTGGATTTGAAGAGTCTTACACTTAAGGCTGAGGACTTGGACTTTTGCCTGTAACCCAGGAGTCACAGCCCACAGCTGTGTTTGTATTTGACTTGCAATTTTACCACAGTTTTGTTTACCACTTCCTTCTGCCCTACTAATTTATATTATTCACCTTATTTCAAGATCCCTATTATGAATAGTAGGGAGCAGTAAAGAAAAGGGCAGGCACCTTCCACTGGGGCCCCTGAGTGTAACAACAATCCAATAAAGCACAGGAAGAGAACCCAAGCCATGGTGGTCCCAACTTGCTTTTCTGTTTGGTTTGCCTTCTCTACTGCCTTTGAGTTCTCCTTCGAGAAAAGACCTCCAGCCTCCAACTACAAGTCAGAAGAAATTCTTGTCTCTTCCTTCCCAAACAGGGCTTATTCTCTGAAAGCAGCCTTTATTGCTCTCACTAGAGCTTCCCCCAAAACAGAGCTGTTGCTGACTGACTGTCTTCCAGCAGCTGTTTATTGCCTGTGTACGACGAGGCAATGGAGCCTATCCGTCAGTAGCCCCTCCATCATCAAACCCACCTTGTCTCAACTAATGATTTTGAAAAGTTATAGATATGGCTCATAATTGCAATAATCCCCACAGACCACTGGCTCTAGCTGTAGTTAATCACTGGTTTGTCAAAGTTTAATGGTCTGAAGCAAAGTAGTCTTCAAGCTTGTTACTGAGCTGTCAGTGCAAAAAATCAGAATGATTCATTAGCCAAAAGGCAACATTTTGCTAACAAATCAGCTTTTCTTCCAATTACCCTCTAATGTTGCTTTATCTGCCAAACTTGGGTCTGATAATAAAGCCGTGTTAATAATGCATTATTTCTTACACAGAGAATGACTACATATAGATAAATAGTCGGCCGCAATCTCAACAACGAATGGTGGTGATGATTCCATGTGCTGGGCTCAAATTGTAGCCTAAGTCAAGGAAATGAAGTCCTATAGGGGTCCTTCAACAGGCTCAGCTGAATGAGGAGGCAACTGAGAGAGAAAAAGGGCTTACTTTGGAAGAAACATACTTAGATGGAGGCCTGGGAAGTGAGAACTCTTTTGCAACCATCCTTGCTTATATATAAGAATAGTCCAGAAAACTGTGAGCCATCGAGATGAATTCTATGGATAAAACTGTTTGCAAGAGGTAGTTTCTGAATGAACTTGTGTTTGCTTCTGAAAGCATGGGGTATTACCAACAATTAACACAGTCATCCAGCCAGTATTTATTGAGCCCTTGCTGTGCATGGTACAGGGATGGGGTAAACCAAGGTAACCAAAGTTAAATCACAGTCCCTCCCTTCAGTGATCTCACTGTTAACATTCTCTGTATTGAAGACATGTACAATGGGCCAGAGGATCAGAAAGCTGCCCTCCTTGGCAGCATTGAGGGGCTTTTCAGAGGACAGAAGGGTAAGAATGTGCCAGAAGGGAAGGGTTTTTCAGGAAGAGGTAAGAACAGGAGCAAAAACAGAAAAAAAGAAAATGGCACTTTTGTGGAATAGCAAGAGGTGTGGAATGTTGGAGGAAAAACCAGAAATGAGAGTTGAAAAGTGGGTTGGGGGACCCTCTTATAGGAAATTATGTCCTGCTAAAGAATTTGAATGCTATTCTATGGATAAGGATATGGAATATGGGAATCTAATGTGATATTGAGGCATAAGGTTGTGACATGCTCAGATTTGTATTTAAGAGAGACATCTTTGCCAGCAGTGTGGAGGCTGACCTAGAGGGAGAAGGAACTGGAGGTTAAGACACAACAGTGATAGCCAAGAAAATGCCATGAAGTCATGAAGTAAGACAGGAGCACTCATTTATGGATATGGCAAGATGTAGAAAGCAATGGACTGGTAACAAGATAGAAGAGGCACTAAGGACTACCTTCTAGAAACACATTCTTATTAGTGCCTGTGGGGTGTCAGGACAGGAGGTCATCAGGGGAGCCACTGGGCCTGGGTCTCATATTCACCTCAGCTCCAGAAGGTGTGCATTACATACACATAACATTTTGTGTGGCGAACAGAGACATACTGATGGGATCGAAAGAAGTAAATGTCTCTCTGACAACATCAGGCTGTGTCCTATTACTGGACAACTACTGTATGCTATTAATTCATGTTTCTAAAATCCTTTAACTATCTTATGAATAGCATTATTATACTATATAACGTGGCATATCAAAAACACATGGAGTTATTATTTAACAAGTAATTAAAACACACCACAGTTTACATAGGTGTGTTTTGACACTTCTTAAATTTTTAATACCAAGAACCTCAAAAAATATAAGTAGCCTAAGGCTCTGAGACACCCTGACTATAGTATGAAGCCAGCGCCCTTATCAGTAAAGCTCGTGGGTATCAACCCCCCCAGCCATAGCTTTCTCTAAGAGAATTTTTGTACGCCGAGCTACTTACTGTCTTCCCCAGCCAGCCCCCAGCTGTTTTCCAATCTAGCAACGTCATGCATTCTCCATCACTCTTTGCACTCTAAACAGTCCTGCATCGGGGCATCTCTCTCTGACCATTCCCAATTGCTGCCAGTAATAGCCATACTTGAGCTGATTTCTGTGAGGTCTCAGTGTCTGTACATCTGCCTTTTCAAATAGGGATACATGCGTACATGTGCATGTTAGGGCCTTTCCATGACTAGTAATTTTCACAAGTAGTCAGAAAGAGTCCCAATTCAACAGGCTCAAAGGCCCATTAGGAGTGGACATGCTGATGCCTATGGCCTTCCTTAATTCCTTCCTCCAATCTGCTCCATGGCCAGTTCTCTCTCTAAACACAGCCCTATGACCTGGTTCTCCCCTGTTCTAAAAGCCAGCTTATTCCACAAGGCCTATAGAATTAATCCGGATTCCCCAGCCAGGCTTCACCCTTTTTCTTGAACCCCCAACTACCAGTCTAGTTTTATTCTCCATTCACTGTGTTTCATCTTACATCGCTGACTTAGATAGATTCTTAGATAGGTTTAATGGTAAATCATAAATGCCTAACTCAAACTAGCTTCAACAACAACAACCAAATGATAATTTATTGGGTCAAATAACTGAGAACAAATCAGGGTGGGATTGGATCTAGTGCAGGCTAATCCTAAGGTTCAAATAATGTTTGAGGGACTCTGCTCTGTCACTATTGTTATTTATTGTCCTACTGAAGATAGACTACTTTACCCTTAGCAAGAAAGGTTGGCCTCTGGAAGCTCCAGTTTATAGCATTACAGCATAGTATTTGCAGAGGATAGAGAGAGTCCTCCATCTATCCTCCCTATAAAAAGACCCAGAGACGGAATAATCCAGCTTGGAACCTCATACCCAGCCTTGCCTGTGAGCATGAGGTTTTTGGTCCAGGAGGACCAGAAATGGAATTAGCACAGTGAGTAGGAAGAAGCTTCCTGAATAGGCAATATTTACCGCTACAGTGGCATCAAGAATCACTTGAGTTGCTTTCTTTTTTTTTCTTTTGTTTTAAATGTTTATTAATTTTTGAGAGAGAGTGTGTGTGCAAGCGAGCAGTGGAGGGGCAGAGAGAGAGAGAGAGGGAGAGACAGACAGAGAATCTGAAGCAAGCTCCTTTCTGGCAGCACAAAGCACGATGTGGGGTTCAAACCCAAGAACCCTGAGATCATGACCTGAGCCACAGTTGGATGCTCAACTGACTGAGCCACCCAGGTGCCCCTCAGTTGAATTACTTTCTAAGAATACAGATTTCCTGTCCTTTTGAGACCTACCCACTTAAACTCTTTCCAGGCAAGGCTGATATTTACTACCTCCTGGACCACAGCAATAGTCAGGGACCACTCTCTGCAAGGCCTTTTTTTTACCTCCCTCTTTTAGCCACCCCTCAATTCCTACACAAACTTCAAGTCCTGTCTCAAATCCTATATCCTGAATGTGGACATCCTAGATTCCCAAAAGTAACCTGAGAATAACAGTTGCATTCTCTGACCTGATTGAGAATGGCTTTAGGGAGGAGGTGAGGTCTGGTTGGGGTCTTGAATGATGAGCAGGATTGTGATGATTGTGCGGCATGAGGAGAGGCCTTTTCCATTCAGATAAAAAGACATAAGCAAAAGCTACAGAGACTTTAAGGTGCCACGATTATTTTGCATAGGATGAATAAACAGCTGAAACAGAAGAGTCATGTAGTGAAGCAGTAAAGGATTAATAGTCAGTTTGGCAGCCACATGGTGGAATGACTTGAAAGTCAAAGTAAGAATTTTTCATTTTGTCCAGGGTGCCAGAGCTTTCGAACATACCGACCTGTTTTCACATGGGGCAGCCAAGTGGGACCTAGCACAGAGGAAGCCTCTGAAGCAGCCTCTTCCTGCTACAACACCCTTGTGGGTGTACCCCAGTCATCAGTAAAATTTCCTGTGCTTGCCAGGATGGGGAGAAGGGTGTGAAGCACTGAATTAGGCAAGAAGGAGCCACTAAAGAATTTTGGAGACAGAATTAACATGATGAGAGCAATGTTTTAGGAAAATCAACCTAAAATCAATTCAGCTCAAACTCCAAATGATTCTGTGAGTATCCATTTAATTCCTTTACTGACAACATCCAGATTAGAACTCATAGATGAATTAATTATTAAGAATGAGAGGGAAGAGAGAGATTGATTTGTTCA